CCATGGCAATTGCAAACTATAAAAAAGTCTGCAATTAAATCAATAATGTTTGTGACAAAGTCAAAAATAACATTGAAAATATTGACACCGTTAGAGAAAATGATAAAATACTAAAAAATAAAAGCCAATGAATTTATCACCTTTTTTGTACACATAGGTATCTGTATCTGTAACGTGTGGAGAGTGGGTTGACCCCCACGGCACTTAGGCCTCATTAAGTCCATTGTGCATCCTCCTAAGATGATAGCCAGCTCCTAGCTCGTGAGCCAGCCTACAAATTTAATGTAGTTGACAACGTCGCCAAGAGGTGTTCTCTTATATCGGCCGGTGTTAGCCGATACTCGCCGAACACAAATCTTCTAATAAATGAGAGCGTCGAGCAACCGTAAAGGATATTCTCCATGGTCTCATCTTCTTGTTCGCACCCTCTGCAGAGTGCGGATTCTAACAGTCCTATGATATGGAGAGGCTTCCGTACTTGGCAATGATCAGTCAGAATGCCTGTGACTAGGCGCAGATTCTGTCTAGTCATAGTCAAGTATTTGTTTGCTGCAGTGTTGTCAGGATAACTTAAGAGCTCCCTGGCAACTTTGCAGTTTCTTGTTTCATCCCATCTTTCCTTGAATTTCACAAGGGAATGTTCTTTAATTAGGTCTGTCACTACCGATTTTGTCAGGCCAAAGAAGGGCCAGGTCCAAAAAGTATTTGGTTGGCTGCTTTCTTCGCTAGTGAATCAGCAAGACGGTTACCTTTTGATGTGGCGTGACCTTTGATTCATCTTAAGGTGACCAAATTGTTGATGGATACTTCGGCCAAAGCTTTGTGACATTCTAGTACTAACCCTGAGTAAATTCGTGGTCTAAGGAGAGTAGTGCTTGTCTGCTATCTGTATAGATGAGCATGTTCCTTCCAGTTGTATTGTTTATGGTTATTTCTTTTGCTGATATGAGAATCCCCGTTAGCTCTATTTAAACTACACTGGCACTATTGCTTACAGCCCATTTTATGTTAAGGTTGAAGAATCTGGAGTATATTCCACATCCTAAGCCTTGTTTTGTTTTAGAACCGTCGGTGTAGATATGAATCGTACCTGCCACTTCCAGCTCTTCTATTTGTTCTATTATAACTTTATATGGCTTATGGAAGATATATCTCGGTGAGATTATAGTCCATGTTCGCTTGAAGCAGTGGGAGCGTATCGAGCGCTTCCTGCCAAAAGCGATGTCTCGCCTCACCAGATCCTACATCAGGTTCTATTTAAACCGTGCGGAGGCGTATCATTATCGTCAAAGCAACCTCCTTGATGTAAGTATAAAGGAGAGTGATACTATGAACGAATTCCATGGCTCTGGTCGGTGGTGTTTTCATGGCTCCTGTTATGTTGACACATGCTGTTCTTTGAATTTGTTCTAGTTTACGGATAGCTGTTAATTTTTGGGCTTTCGGTACCCAGACAACTGCTAACATATGGTGCAGCATAGGTCTTATGATAGCCGTGTAAGTCCATGCGACGACTCTGGGGAAGAAACCCCAGATTCGCCCCACGGTTTGGCGGCATTTTACATAAGCAATGTATGCTCTTTTAACTTTGTTTTTTAAATGCGAGTTCCATGTTAACTTGCTGTCAAAGGTGAGACCTAGGTACTTCGCCTGTTTTGTGTTTAGGAGTTCTCGAGGTTTTAATTCCGTTTTTATCCTTTTCTTAGGATTAATAGACAGTGAATGGTCCTTGCACTACTAATCGATTATTTTTAGAGCTACTTGCATTCTTTGGCAGAGTATGTTCTCAAAATTCCCTGTTTTTATAATGACCAGGTCATCTGCATATGCCATTGCGTAGGGACTGTTATTATTGAGGCGACTGATGAGGGTGTCGGGGACCATATTCCACAGTAGAGGTGATAGCACCCCTCTCTGTGAACATCCCCTCGCAACCAAGCTTCTTATGTTCACACCTTCTACACTTATGTTTACTGCTCGCTTTGAGAGCATGTCACGTATCCACCCACTAACCATATGTAGAACATTCCTGTTGGTTAGTGAGTGTATTATCTTTGGGAAGGTGGTTTTATCAAAAGCACCTTCTATATCTATAAAAACCCCCAAGGCGGACTCTTATTAACCAGGAATCTTTCTATCCGGCCAGCAACTAGATAAAGGGCTGAATCAGCAGATCTGCCTGGGGTGTATGCATGTTGGTTTGGGTGTAATGGTGTTGTTGTAATCACCGCATCCCTTATGTACCTTTCCAATGTCTTCATGGAAAACGATGTCAGACTAATTGGTCGGTATGTTTTTAGGACAGTGTAAATTATCCTTCCAGGTTTGGGTATAAATACCACTTTTACCTCTCTCCATTTTTTGGGGATATACCTCAGAGCTAACGAGGATCTAAATATACCCACCAGGTGCGGTGTGAGTTCTTCCAGGCCCCTCTGAAATAGGGCTGGATGGATACCGTCAAGTCCTGGCGATTTAAATGGAGAGAAGCTGGATATTGCCCATCTAATTTTTTTTATCGTTTACAATGTGTTTGGCAGTTTGCCAATTATAGATAGATGGATTGTGTTTTTCCTCTGCCCAGTCCGCCACGTCTGTGCTAACCGAGTCAGGGAAGTGTGTTGACAGCAGAAGTTTGATGCTATTTTCGAGGTTGGCAGTTTTCGTGCCATTCTCTTTGATTAGCACACCAGTGCTTCGGTGTGGATCTTTTGAGAGAGCTTTTTGAAGCCTCGCTGCTTGCGGTTAATCTTCGATTTCTTCGCATGCATCTCTCTGTTTTTGTCTGACGATTTTTTTGTATTCTCTGAGGTGAGATTTGTAAGTATCCCAGTCCTCTTTGAATTTTGTGGTTCTTGCCTTATTAAAAGATTTTCTAGCCATCTTCCTGAGGTGATCCAACTCGTGACACCACCATGAGGTAGTCGTCTGATCGTGTTGGACCAACCTCAGAGGACAGGATTTCTTTTAGTCATTGTTTATTGTGCTTTTGATAGTGTTCGTGTACTTTTCCAAAGCAGTGCTATTGTTTGGTGTTTTGGCCTCCATCTCTTTCAGAGCCTCTTGGAGAATGTGGGCAGAGGTTGCCCTGTCCGTAGCGTGGAGGTCGGCAACATCAAGTTTATTTTAAATGTTAACCAGCGGTGGTCTGACATCGAAATGTTATCAGACACTTGCCAGTTTAGAATTGATTTATAGATACCAGTTGTGGATAAAGTGATATCTATTAGTGTTTGACTGCAAGAGTTTAAAAATGTTGGTGTGGTACCTTTATTTAAAATACAAAGATTTTTGATAATTATACATCATAAAGTGATTTACCTCTAGCGTTGTTATCCTTACTGCCCCCAACTGAAGTGATGAGCGTTTGAGTCGAAACCTATTACCAGCTCAAACTTCTGTTCCAGGCAGTATTCAATCAGATCTTCCATCTCTTTAGGGTGGTAGCGTGGTTGCGTCGGAAGGGAGGTATGCAGATGCCAGGATCAACGTTCTCTTTCCCCTTTTGATGGCGTATTCCATCCTAACCGCAGTTAAATTGGAGGTGGAAAGGTGTGCCATTGAGTGGGTTTTGTATTTCCTAGGCATGTAAATGGCTGTCCTAGGTTGTTGGTTGCTGGGACAGCAAAAAATTGAACCATTTAGATTTTTAAGACATAAAATTTTGATTTTTATTATCCAGAGTTCCTTGCAGCTCATCAAGGCGGTGGTATAATATTACCGTAGCTACCCTTTTGTGCTGCAAGTTACATTGCATGATCGTTACCTCTTTTATTGTTTCCCGGTCCTCCGTTGAAAATTGGACAGCGAGGTAGTTATTTATTCGACCATCTCTTCCTCCGAAAGTGGGGAGGGGGTGGTCTATTGTGGCTCCTCTAAGTTTTGTTGCTGGAGGTCATCGATTGTCATTTTTTCTGGCTCGACGTCCTCCACTGTTGGCTTAAATTGGGGCGGAAGAGGGTCCTTTACCAAGGAGTCTTCACTGTGCCCCGCTTCAGCCTCTTTTTCGGTTTTTGGCCTTGTAGTCAGTGAGGTGAACGCATACCTCATCCTCATTGAATTGGCCTTTAGGGTTCCCAAGTCCTCGTCTCCAATGCCGAAGACGAAGAGATGGCCCTTAGGGTCTTTTTTGATTTCATGGTGGAAGGTGCACCATTTCGCCACATGCAAGTTTGGGTTTCTCCCCTCAAGTCGCCTGAGCACAACCTTTTCCTCGTCAAGGTCAGCTTGCGCTTCCCCTGGGATCCACAGAGAGGATTTAGTGAGCTTGGGGAGCTCGTCTATCCTTACAACTGCGAGTGTTGATCCTTCCCATGTTTTTAAGGTTGGTACATTGGTTTTTAGCCATTCCAACGTCAGGTCATCATCGCACGTTACTCTGATGATTTCACCAGAGATAAGTAGTTTGAACTTCGTTTAACACAACGGTGAAATCGACCCTTAGCTACTAGCTATATATTGATAAAGTGTTATTGCCTCCATCATAAATAAATTGTGCTAACAAATGAAGTCAAAAATACGTTTCAATATTTTTTCATCTTTTAGTTACTTATCAAAATTAGGTAATACAATACAAATATTTAAGTCCGGTCCAGAACATCTCCCAACTCCTTCCACCCACTTTTTCGGTTTTGGCAAAATTCGCGCAACGGCAAATGCTTTCTATGTTACCTGTACCCTTTCTAAAATATAAAAATAAAATACAATACAAAAGTATCAAAATTGGTAATTATAAATAAAAAAAGGATAAAATTGGCAAATGACGTAGGTAACATAAAATTGCCTCCTTATTACAAATGCTTTTAAATATTTTATTCGGAAATCGTCTGATGTATTATATTGAAATTGTCATGGAACAACAATATAGCTTTTGTTATATATATGAAAACAAAATTTTGTAACTCATATATTATTAAAATTTTGATAAAAATTTGAATTTTCGGAAAATTCAAACTTGTTAAACGATTTACTTTTCAGTTGAACAAAGATTTTTGTTTCAGATTTTACGCTGTATTAAAACCACTAGATATGGGCAACCAAAGGGAAAAAATTATGGTAGCAAGTGCTTGGATCGGTGCTTGCGTTTGCAGTGCTCCACAGGTAAGCTCTTTCATTCAAAAACCTTCCTTTATATGCATCTGTTTTTTAAAAAAAAGTGATCGTAACGTATATATAGGCCAAAATAATATACCGCCTCAAATTAACTTTGAAGGACATCTATCGCACATAAACACGTATCAGAGCCATTAATTAACAGAAACTGTGTCAATATTTTAGACCAGGGATTCCGAAAGTGGTCGACATAAACGAAAACTGATTTTGGGGGTCGACGAGGTCTAAAAGTCGGTCCCTATTAATTAACCCAAGTTCTTATTTGAAACTTTCAAGATACTGTATGAGTTGTGTTACGTGTACCAACTTGTTATAAGAATGATCAATATTTTAGTAGAAAGTATAGGCTTCGTTCGATTGTAGAGTTAAGGTACCATTTGGGTAGGCGCGTCAAGAGACAAGCGACCACTGATGCGACCCCAAGGTCGAATAGGACGACAGATGCATAAATGTTACGCAAGCTTGAGAAGTGTCGCGCGACACTTACAGGATAACCATTCGAGGGAACGATCAGCGTTGCCAGACCAACTGTTTTCACGTAGATCCACTGTTTTTGTCTCTAGCAAATTTTGTTCTTAATTTATTAAGTTTGCCTCATTCTTCAGCAAATGGTTAAAGAATATGTTCTCTAGTATATTTTCTGCAGTAAAAGCAGCGTAATAAGCATCCACTACTCTAGGTTGGCTCCATAAAAAAAACATCAAGATAATCATTGTTTTTATTTAAAATGAAACAAAGAATTAATAGAGCATCATAAAAAGAACATGCACACTACGATTTTGAATTATCTGATTCATACTGATCTAAAAGAAGTAGGTACCTATTATTTTTATTATTTTTTTTTTTTTTTTGTATCCGTACGTTAAGTATATATTAAAAATGTTATTATTTGTGTTTATTCTTTGTTTACCTTCTAATTTGGGTCGAAAAACGTTTATTTTTCGTTTCTTATATACTTGTTTTTTTATTTACTATTCTGCAAATTTCAATTATTTCCTCCTGTATTAAAATCTACTGTTCAGATCTACGTTTTTTTTTTCACTCATACTGTTCGAAAATCTGGCAACACTGCCTAGATTGAAAGAAATTTTCAACCCATTCACCTCCAAGCGATGAAGCGATGCTTGAGGACAGTGACCTCGAGTGCGACAGGCAGCAAACCTCTGCCCCGAGTCAGATTTAGAAGTGTCCCCAGGAAGTGTCTCGACGTGCGAAATGTGTTTCATATAATTGTATGTATTTTAGATGTAAAGCGACACTTCTCGGTCGCGTCTGCGGTCGTATGTCGCGTCGGCTGTCGTCTGTCGCGCCTACCGAAATGGTACCTTTAGAGTTTTCCTGAAAATTTTTTACTTACTTATCGTGCGGACAAAAAACGTGGCATATTCTTCTGTATGATTCAAAGCCAGTGTGTTTTTTACCAGAAAATTGCTCGGAAGTGAATGTGAGTGTCGTAGATGCTACAATTCTGATATATATTTCCAACGTTTAAAATTTGGGTTATTGCGTTATCTTCAGTATGTTCTCCTGTTATGCTAGTCAAGAGGACTGAAGGCCTGGCTATGGATGGTGATGATGGTTCACTTGCAGCTTTTGATACACGTCTAACTAAATTTAGATTGCATTAATTCTTAACAGTCGATTACGAGTTTATTTCCCTTTATGTAAGAATGTTCAATATTTTGTCTCTCTATAAGTGTCCTTTTAGTAACTATTTGATTTTTTTCAAGTTGTTTCAAAGTTAGTTTATCTGCAATATATACACTGGTTTCCTTAAAAATTTGCTGTTTTCCTTGTTTTTTAATATACAAAACCACATCAATTTTTACAGAACTATTATTACTCTTTCCAAGGGTATAAAAATTGTTAATTTTCGATTTTTGTAGTTTCGCTTCTTCTATCAGTTTAACTCTGGGGAATTTTTGTTCCAGCCAAAAATTATTATATTATTCGATTTTTCCTTTCTTTCCAATTGTTCAACTATTATATAAAATATTTGCTTCACTAGCCTGTATACTGTTTTTAATTCAATTTTAATATTTTGTAACTTTTCCAACACTTTCTGTATGCTTTAGAAGTATACGGTATCCTTTATTATACTCTTCCTAGCTCTGTGACAGGAACTGCAAATCAAAGGATTATGGGTGAGGTTTTCCTCACCTGTAAGTCAAATGGCACCATCAATCATCTTTAAGTCGCTTCGGAGCGCCACGGCAAATAATAATATCCGTCCCTTTCACTGAACAAGCTCTGCTGTTGGGGTTAAAATTCACTCGTAAGGGGGTGAATTTAGGGAGAGTATTATTATTGTTATTGAACTTTGTGAGTTAAATATTATATTTTTTCTACGGCTATTACATAAAAATTAGTCAAAATGAGAAAATGCTGTTTTGTATTGTAAGCTCAGAAAAAGGTATATTAAAGCTTCTTTCTTTAGGAATTTTAATTAATATAGAGGATATGTCACATAAAATTCTAGAAATACTTATTTCTGAAACCAGATAACATTTTAAAATTTAAATCTAATAAAAGTCATTCGATCACTAGGGGTGGGCGATTATCGATCACTGAAAATAATCGATTATTTTTGATTAATCGATTATTTTCCAAAAATCTATTTTTTTTAATATCAATTATTCGATTATCTTTGAAAAATCAAAAATAATCGAATAATTAAAAAGCCGATTAAGCGATAAATTGGTGTTTCCAAAAAATAATAAACGAATTCTTGAATAATTAATCGATTATTTTTGAATTTTCGTATTTTCGTATTTTCTCTAAAACCAATTATTCGATTATCTTTGAAATACCGAAAATAATAAATTAATTAAAAAATCCATTAATCAATAAATCTGTTTTTCAAAAAAAAAAACGAATAATTGATTATTTTCAATCAATTTTTCTAAAAAAATAACCAAATTATCAATTATTTAAAATAAGAATTAATTTTTTTTAATTATTTTTAATTAATCTATTTCTTTTTGTTTTTCCTTTTGATCGATTATTCCATTATCTTTCGAAAATAATTTATTAAAAATATTCGATTAATTATAACTGATAAATCGATTTTCATAAAAAAAACGACCGAATAATCGAATAGTTGATTATTTTTGCAACCCCTATCGGTCTCTTGCTTTTATCCGAGCATTTATCTTCAAAATTTACTAGATCATAATTATTATAAGACTTAGATTAAATTCACTTCAGATTTGACTGCAAATTTTAAGTAGGTCGTCCTGTCCTGTATTTTATCTAATATTCTTATAAAAATACCTCATAAAATAAAATTTTGTTAGAAACTATGATTCTTTTTTTATTTACTTACCAAAAAGGGCTAAAATCTACTTTTAGTAAATATTCTTTAAGAAAGGCTCAACTTGTCTGATTATCATACATAACCCCTTAAGACCAAACATATGTGACGACTATGGCGAAGGCGCTTTCGAGTACATTCCAGATTGAACATGATTATGTTACTAGTGTTGGTGAGCATTGGTGAGAACATTCTAGTACCTTCGCAAAAATTTTAAATGTGTATATAAATATTGGTGGAGGAACACATAGCAGTCAGTGGTATACAAACAGTTGTGAATAGTAAATAGTAAACAATTTAAAGACATTCGAAATATATAAATTAGAATAGTACAACAATTGCTTTCAACTTGTTTAACTTATTTATTTATTTAATTCTATAAACTTGACTTTTCTCATGTCTTTAGCTCTCAGAGATCAATAAAAAATCAAATTGTATTCGTATTATCGTATTTTTCTAAATTTTAAGAGCATCCTCTGCTATGCCAATAGGACTTTTTCCTTGTGCTTTGCATACTTTTTATTGCCCTACTTTTAAGATGACAGAATGGAAAACAATACGGTCCTGCGGTATCTCTGAATAACTTAAACAATGTTTATATGCCCGCAGAATGTCCTTTATCTAGATGAGCGGCTCAGTAATTAACATTCCTTTCCTGTTTCAGATGGCAATCTTTCACGTGGAAGTGCACCCTAATGTGACGTGGTATTACCAGTGCGTCACGTACAACGTTTTTCCGTCAGTGGCCCACGAATTGGCCTACGTCATCGGAGGAATGCTGATGATGTATGCCTTGCCCTTGGTGGTCATTATTTATTCTTATGCGTCCATACTTTTGGAGATATTCAGAAGAACTAGAAATCCTGGTGGTGGTAAGTTGATTTTTTAACGAAATAGCTTTATACAGTGTCGGATTGGGGCCTCTAGGGTTTACCGGTTCAGGAGAGAGAAGAGTCTTGTAAATACAACTTTTTTTAATGTTCTCGCGAAAAAATGTTGCTCTATATGGACACTGTTAACTATTAGTGACATATTTTTTCAAGTTATATTGCAAATAATATTAAAATTGATTAGAGGTACAAGATTATTATTTTTATGTAGATGAAAACAAAAGAAAACTGAAAAAATTAACAGTAATTTCATGTCGATTTGATGTAAATCACTATTCAAAAATACCTACTTGATAGGGGAGCTAATGCTCTTCAAAGATTTCGCTCTGTCACCGGTCTCATATATCTTCGAAACGATTTTTTTTAAGTACACATTTATTTTGTGGAAAACTTGTGCATAATCGTATGGTGTGAATACGATTTTTTAATTTTAGTCACAAGCTACTCGTTAAAGAAGACAATAGGTTATCAATAAAAATATCCAATATTCCTCTCAAGCTTAAGATGAGGTGATAATAAAATTGAAGAAGAAGGGTTATCAATTTTTTCGAATATGGTCAAATTACTTCAAAGATTGAAATAAAATCAGAAAATTTATACTACATACATTTTATTATAATTTAGTTGAAGCGACTAATTTAGGGCAGCCTGGCCATTATCAGGCCTACAATATAACTAATATGTTGATAGAAAGAGATCTGTGAACTTGGCATTACAACATTGCAAAAAAAGGTCAAAAATGTGTGAGAGGTTTACCCATTGTTTGCATATTATTGCCCATGAAATAACTTTTTTGCCCACCCTTTGTTTTCACAATATATCGAAAATAATTTTTGCGGGCCAACTTCCAGACAAAAGTTAAAATTTTCATAATTTAATCTCACGGCATAATAGCATTTCGTTTACCCACGTTTGCCCATAAATTAGTTTAAAAAAAAAAAATTAGAGAAAATAAAAAAAAAAACGAAAAAAATATTCACAAAAATGCAATATGATAACTGCATTAGATAATCATTCGCTAGCCCATGTTTGCCCATTTTTGTTTTACAAAGTTCTATAACAATCTTCAAAAAAAAATTAATTAAAAAGGTATTTGATGATAAATCCACTATCCGAGATTTATATGCGTTTATTTGTTATAAAAAATGGGTAAACATAGAAATAACGCCAAAATATTTGTAAGTTATTAAAAAATATTTTCTGAGGATTGCCCATTTTTTTAAAAAATCCTCGTCCAATAGGGAGGCTAAACTCCGATAATAGAGCATTTATATGTATTTATTAGTGATATAAAATTGAGCAAACATCAAAATAATTCCAAAAAAGTGTAAGTTGCTAAGAAATGTATTCCGAGGATTGCCCATTTGTTAAAAACCACTCTAGTCCAATAATGGGGCTTAATCTCCGATAGTAGTGCATTTCTGTGTTTTTAGTTGATATAAAAAAAATGGGCAAACATCGAAATGATTCCAAAATAATTGAAAGTTGCTAAGAAATGTATTCTGAGGATTGCCCATTTTTAAAAAAATCCTCCAATAGGGGGGCTTAATATCCGATAATAGGGCATTTCTGTGATTTTACGTAATATAAAAAAATGGGCAAACATCGAAATGATTCCAAAACAAGTTTAAGTTGTTAAGAAAGGTATTCTAAGGATTTACTATATTTAAAAAATTCTCGTCCAATAGGGGGCATAAACTCCGATAACAGTGCATTTATGTGTGCTTATCTATTATGAAAAAATGGGCAAACATCGAAATGATTTCAAAATAATTGTAAGTTGCTAAGAAATGTATTTCGAGGATTGCCCATTATTTAAAAAAAAATCCTCTTCCAATAGGGGGGGGGGGGGGCTTAATCTCCAATAACAGTGCATTTCTGTGTTTTCAGTTGAAATAAAAAAATGGGCAAACATCGAAATGATTCCAAAATAATTGAAATTTACTAAGAAATGTATTCTGAGGATTGCCCATTTTTGAAAAAAAATCCTCTTCTAATAGGGGAGCTTAATCTCCAATAATAGTGCATTTCTGTGTTCTTACTTAATATAAAAAAATAAAAAAATGGGCAAACATCGAAATGATTCCAAAATAAGTGTAAGTTGCTAACGGCTATTTGCACCGAATTTTTATTTAAGATTCCTTACTTAAGGTTCCTTAAATATTTAAGGAATCCTTAAAATTAAGTAATTTGCACCATTTACATTTTAGACTGCCTTACCAAAGGAAGTTTAGTTATTCTTCTCATCGGTAAGTGGTCTTGTTCTTAATCGAAAACCAGTAAATTGTATCAAAATTTTGATATATTGATAATAAATTAAGAAAAAGAAGAAAAAGTTAACCCATAATATACTTAGAAAAATAAAATAACCTGTGAATGACAGAAAGACGTCTTTCATCGTGAAAAAAACTAAACCTGTAAAACTATAAAGTGTTAACCCTCTCTGTGTGACTTTTATGTTTACCGGTAGTGGTAGTGGATTTCAAAAAATCTCTCTTGAGAAATCCAACTGATTAAAAAAAACAAGAATATATAGAATGTCGAAATAGATTGAACAAAATAATTAAAAATACAAAAAACTCATATTATTCAAATAAAATAATCTGTGATATTTTCAAATTGTTCCAGAACTTGCATTACCGTTTCTTTATACAATCTAAACCTATTAAGGAAGGTCAAGTTATCCATTTCGTCGAAATAATTCTATTATACTTGAAAACCCAAAATCAGCAATTTTAATTATTTCCTGTTCATCATTAAATATAAAATTATCCTCGTGGTCCATATTTTTGTTATAATTATAAAAAAATGTCACTGTGAAAGTAGGTAAGAAATGTTTAAGTCTCTAAATTTGACTGTTTTATTAAGAATAGTTTGAGTGTTTCAAAAGGGCTCCTTAACTGACGGTGCAATGAAAGTATGTCACTTAAATCCTACTTAACTTTAAATAATCCTTAAATACGTCGGTACAAACGGCCGTTAGAAAGGTATTCTGAGGATTGCTCATTTTCAAAAAAAAAAATCCACGTCCAATAGGGGGGCATCAACTCCGATGAAAGTGCATTTATGTGTGCTTATCTACTATGAAAAAATGGGCAAACATCGAAATGATTCCAAAATAATTGTAAGTTGCTAAAAACTTAATTCTGAGGATTGTCCATTTTTTTAAAAAAAATCGAAGTTCAATAGGGGGGCTTAAATTTCAATAATAGTGGATTTATGTGTTTATTAGTAATATAAAAATGGGCAAACATAAAAATGATTCTAAAGTAAGTGAAAGTTACTAATAAAGGTATTCTGAGGATTGCCCATTTTAAAAAAAAATGATCATCCAATAGGGGGCATAAACTCCAATAATAGTGCATTTATGTGTGTTTATCTGATATGAAAAAATGGGCAAACATCGAAATGATTCCAAAATAATTGTAAGTTGCCAAGAAATGTATTTCGAGAATTGCCCATTATTTAAAAAAAATCCTCGTCCAATAGGGGGGGCTTAATCTCCAATAATAGTGCATTTCTGTGTTTTCAGTTGATATAAAAAAATGGGCAAACATCAAAATGATTTCAAAATAATTGAAATTTGCTAAGAAATGTATTCTGAGGATTGCCTATTTTTTAAAAAAAAATCCTCGTCTATTAGGGGAGCTTAATCTCCAATAATAGTGCATTTCTGTGTTCTTACTTAATATAAAAAAATGAGCAAACATCGAAATGCTTTCAAAATAAGTGTAAGTTGCTAAGAAAGGTATTCTGAGGATTGTTCATTTTCAAAAAAAATCCTCGTCCAATAAGGGGGCATCAACTCCAATAAAAGTGCATTTATGTGTGTTTATCTAATATTAAAAAATGGGCAAACATCGAAATGATTCCAAAATAATTGTAAGTTGCTAAAAACTTAATTCTGAGGATTGTCCATTTTTTTAAAAAAAATCGAAGTTCAATAGGGGGGCTTAAATTTCAATAATAGTGGATTTATATGTGTTTATTAGTGATATAAAAATGGGCAAACATCAAAATGATTCTAAAGTAAGTGAAAGTTACTAATAAAGGTATTCTGAGGATTGCCCATTTTTTAAAAAAATCCTCGTCCAATGGGGGGCTTAATCTTGGATTTTTTTTTTAAATGGGCAATCCTCAGAATACATTTCTTAGCAACTTTCAATTATTTTGGAATCATTTTGATGTTTGCCCATTTTTATATCAAATAAAAACAGAAATGCACTATTATCGAAGATTAAACCCCCTTATTGGACGAAGATTTTTTTTAAAAAAAGGGCAATTCTCAGAATACATGTCTTAGTAACTAACACTTATTTTAGAATCATTTAGATCATTGCCCATTTTTATATCACTAATAATCACATATAAATGCGCTATTATTGGAGTTTAGGCCCCCTATTGGACTTGAATTTTTTTTAAAAATGGGCAATCCCCAGAATACATTTCTTAGCAACTTACAACTATTTTGGAAGCATTTTTTTATATCAGATAAACACACATAAATACACTATTATCGGAGTTTATGCCCCCTATTGGACGAGGATTTTGTTTTTAAATGGGAAATCTTTAGAATACCTTTCTTAGTAACTTACACGTATTTTGGAATCATTTCGATGTTTGCTTATTTTTTTATATCAACTAAAAACAGAGAAATGCAATACTATCGGAGACTAAGCCCCCCTATTGAACGAGGACTTTTTAAAAAATGGGCAATCCTCAGAATACCTTTCTTAGTAATTTTCACTTATTTTAAAATCATTTTGATGTTTGCCCATTTTTATATCACTAATAAACACATATAAATACACTCTTATTGGAGTTTAAGCCCCCCTATTGGACTTGGATTTTTTTTTAAATGGGCAATCTTTAGAATTTACAAATTCTTTTCGACTTGCACTGTCATTAGAAAATAAAATTAAAAATCAAATAAATCAATTAAATCCTAAAATTACAAACAAAAATCGTAGACACAAAAGAGG